AGCTCTCAGCAATAGACGAGTGAGAAACCTCACCAAACGCATTGCTGTAGTCCAGGACAGGATAGTCCATCGTTTTTCTGCCCGATGAGTTTACCGATGCTCGTATTACGTCTATGGTGCTTCTTGAGGGTAAATAGGCATACTGCCGGCTCTCAGCACTGACCTTCCTCAAGGCTACATCTAGGTATTGTTTGATATAAGACTCCGCGATCTTTGATAGAGTTGTACATAGCGAGATCGGCCTCAGCGATTTGACGCTTTTGCGATCACGCTTCGGCTTATCGAGCACAATCACGCGGGAATGCTTCCAAGACCTAGGGACGAATGCATTGCAGAAGCTGAACCCTAAGAGTTTTCCCAACTCGCTTTTGACCCAGCACGGGGCTTCATGCCAATGCTTTAACCGTATACCGTCTGTCCCTGGCGCCGATGAGAAGCTTTTTCGCCGTTTTTCTATCATCAAAGTCACATCGTCAACCGATACCTCGAAAGCATCCCTCGCTACCCCGTCGCCGAGCTTTTCGGATGGCTCCGCGAAAGTGTCCACCTCAGATAAACCTATATAATGGTCAGCTATTCTGTTGGCAGACTGCCAAAAAGTTTTATCGTCTTCTAACAATCTAGGTGGGGGCCGCGGTTTAGCTCCTCGAGCCTTCGCAAAGATCTGTGATATATTTTTTGAGCGATCTAGCTCATGAAATCCCCTTATTAAATGCTCCTCCTTCTTCCTGTGGATCAGCTTCCTGTATTCCGCCCTCAGAAGGTTTTTATTCGGATCGCACACTCGTTCAGCTCTTTTCAGCTCAGATCTTTTCAGTCTGAGTTCATCATCAAACCATCGCAGCCTTACACCTGTGTGCGAGCTGTATCTTTTCCTGGGTGTAGCGGTTATTGCCGCCACTTGGATCAGACGAGTCAGCGACGCCTCACGTTCGATGAACTCCGCTCTGCTGGATATTTTGGCATCCACGTAGCCGGGCCTTCTGTCCTCCAGAACTTGTCTGAAGATACCCCAGTTACATTTATAATAGTTATATTCGCTCAAAGAGCCTTCTGACGCTGGCTTGTTCCAGTGATTGTTGATCATCTGAACGCTCGTGAAAACGTAACTTATCGGAGCATGATCTCCCAGGCCGAAAACATCTGAGACCAACCAGTCCTCCACCTTGCCGTGACCTTTGTGGAAGGTAACGTCAATGATTGAAGTCTTCCGCCTTTCTCCTGGCACTAGGCTGCTGTCTAGTGCTCTGAATGTAGGTCTATCGCCACTGTTCGCGCAGACAAACCCCTCCGTGAGGAAACAGTCAGCGATCGATCTCCCGATTCGTCGGGAGACTGAGTTTTCGCAACGATCGTGAAGGGGGTTCCATAGAGAGCTGGAACCATTGCTGTCTCCGCCTACTATTATGGATCTACTATTGTCTACATCAGCTAATGGACTAAATAGTGCATTCACCTCAATTCGATCGGTCATATAGAAACATGCGACGACTAACTCATCTCTGTATCGTACTACTGTCAGGTTCCTACTATCCACCGTACAGGCCGCTACATCACCAAAATGCTTTTTGTTCACAAGTATACATGTATTCGAATTTTGAGTTCCTCGGATGACATTGTGAGAGTCAATGTCGATATGCCGGGGAGGTTCACAGATGAGAATAAAGTCAGGACTAACTACGCTATCCGCTAGGAAGCTGAGAAATATAGCTTGAGACTTACGACAGTTCAGCTGTAAGAAAGTTAAGAACATACTAGCTCAAAAAGTCTCCCGTTATATGGAACATCGCTCCCTCCGTAGTCCGTCATCGCGAGTTTCTGATGGAGTTGCTTGAGCTTCTCCTCGCACATATCCCCGAACATTGCATTGTGCCCAGCCTTTTTGCACAAGGAACATTTGCATGCCGACAAGTCCAGTCGCGAGCCTCGCTTTGGACATCTTCCCATGTGATGTTTATCTCCGCATAGGCAGCAACAAGCCTTTCCTTCATCACTCTTAGCCGCACAGGGTTTATTCCTCGAGTGACATTGTCCACAATCGTAGCAAACATTGAGGCTTAAATGGTCTCTCACTTTCAGTTTCATGTTCCTCACATACAGCCCATCTCTTATCATACAGGATCTATCGCCCGCGGGCACCCTGATGATGAAGAACTTCTTAGTGGTCCTCATGAAGACCCATTCGTCTACATTTAACTCCTTCTGTAAGCTTTTTGCCTGGGCCTTTAAATCTTCTTTCTCTCCAACAAATTCATCCTTGTATATCAGAACCTCGGGAGATAGTCTACTTTGTGGTCTCGCCTGTATGCCGTGACGGCATTGCCGTCGATACTGCCCAACTCCCCGAGAACTGTCGTCATGTCCACTTGATTCAGGGGAGCTCTCACAATGATATCGTCCCTGCGTCTGACAATCCTGTCTATCCTTAAATTACATAGCTTTCTGTCGATGCTGTCCTTGAGCTGCGCGAGTGACTCCTTCCTGCGTTCTTCTTCGTGTGGGAGGTCATTCGGTTTGATAACCAAAGTTTTGATTTGGTTCTGCTTCGGAGGCTTGAGGACTCTCCCAGCTTTCACAGTTCCAAGGCCTAGATGGCCCTGATTAGCGTAGAGGGCATCCTTATACGTCATAGGGGATCTCCCATCTGTGCTCTGCTGAGCTACTTTCTCCAGTTTTATACGCAATAGCCGATTCTCTTCAAGGAGCTTCATATACTGATTTTTGATGCGACCCATTGTCTCTCTCAGCTTCGCACTCACGCCATTCGAGAGATACCTCTTATTATTGATACAATCACTGATTGTATTTTCCAATTCCTCCGAGAGCTCCAGTAGCGACGAGTATTCACTGTCCTCTAGAGTGTCGATCTCTCGCAGACTCAAATCCGAGCCTTCCCCCTCACTGCCTACCTTCTCGGAGAGACTTCCGTGGTCATCTTCTCCATCGTCCATCGGATAGTCATTCCAGTCTCTTCTTTCAGCTTCTTGCTCGTTCTGTTTCCCTTTCTTCTTGTTGACGCCAGGTGAGGGGGTTCCTCGAGGACGCTTCAGTAGGCTGCTGCGCTGGGAC